TCTTGTGAAATATGTCTACACCAACAGACACTTCTTACCTCTATAATACAACTTATAGTTGCCCTACTCATGAACTTGGCTTAGAAGCATTTAGTTTTGGGTAGGGGAAAAGAATAAGCTTTTAAACAATATTTTACCCCTAACATCAATGTAATAAATTGATTTTAAATTACTGTACATGTTGCTTACTGCAAGAGGTAAATTGCTTTGTGCTGATAACATATAATGGCAATAAGAAAACATCCATAGCAACAATGCGACCTATTTATACTTTCTTATTCTACTTGGTTATGACACAGTACATTTTGTAGTGAACCTCTTCTCCCAGTTTGACAAAATCAGTTGCAAAGCAGAATGTCCATCATCACATACAATAAAAATGCTACAAAAGCAACAAGAAAGTATGGAAACCCCATCCAGAATAGATTCCTACACTTGCTACTGATATGTCAAAGGCTGGTGGGAATGCTTGGGCTCTCGATTTATTTTTTTTATTTACTATATTCATACAGTATAATAAAACTCAAGCACTCTAACATACATCATGTTCCCAACATTATTTTCCCTTTGGCATGGCCTTAATACCCAGTTTCCTATGTATATGCATATAAATTCTATGGACTTACAACTGGTATAAAAACAGTAATTGCCTCCAAACTTCTAACTAATTTTACAGTGGTACAATGCCAGAAACATTTTTACAATTATTTAGCCACAAAACTTAAGACATTTCATGTAAAAGGAGTCATGTACACATTTAGCATATTTCTGTGAAGCACAAATACTATATATTTTGCAAGCCAAAATGACAACACCTCCATAGCTACAGTTTATGCTGCTTAATACACTTCCCTTTAGAGAAAAACTTAAACTCTACACTACATGCACTTATAAAATGTAAGCAATCTCTACTCATACTGGCATTGTTTTTGTCTTTGCAGAATTGACATCAGTGGCTCATTAAATCACAGGATTTATGTAATGGTAGTGGCATATTATGTGAATGTGGTTTAAGCAACGTTTGTTGCTTATCAAATCACATTAATTAATGTGAAGTTTGACTTATCAAATCTGTGATTTATGCAGTTTATCAAACCCCAATGATTAATGCAATACTGCACTAGTGATTTTAAATCAATGATTTAAGTAATACTAGTGGTTTATCAAATCACATTGATTAAAGTAATGCTACCAGTTACTGAATCACAGTGATTTATAAAATACTAGCAGTTTTTTAAATCATATTTACTTAAATAATGCTAGTGACTTATCAAATCACAGAGATTAAAGCAATGTTAGTAGCCTATTAACCCCCTTCACTATGGGGACACCAGTTTTAATATTTTGTTTGGTTCACACCAGACGGTTTTATTCAGTTCTGAGGGAAACCCATACACAAAGGGTTAAATCCTTGCAATCTATACAATGCTAGTGACATGTTAAGTCATAGTGATTTAAGAAATACCAGCAGTTTATCAAATCACAATAATTCATGCAGAGCCTGTGTCTTATTAAAACAAATGGTGACGTATGCAATGATAGTAGCTTATTAAATCATGGTGATTTAAGCAATGTTAATGGTTTATTAAACCATGATGATACCAGGAAATGCAAGTCACTAATCAAACCACACTAATTTACACAATGCTAGAGCCTTTTACCACAGTCATTCAAGCAATGCTAGTGATACTGTATTATATAACAGTGATTTATGCACTGTTTATATCATTGCAGCAATTTCTTTCCAACTGGTTTGTTTGAATCACTGTGATTTAAGAAATACATTAAATCTACAGAATTTTTTAAGTTTTAATTTAAACCTAAAAATAATACTAACTACCATATGTAAATTTACATTTCTATGACTCAAATTTTAAGGCATTTGAAGAAAATCTACCCAAACATATGAGGAATCTATAAGAATTCTTCCTCTTACCAACATCTGCACCTCATATAACAGCTGATGCTTCATCCCTTTCACCTACTTAAGCACATATGCCTTACTACCACATGACTAACAGGAAGACAAACCTTCCCATAATAATAATTTTCACTATACTGTACATGTACTGTATTACCAAATTCTCTGTCTGGAATAGGTAGCCACTAAAGACACACAACATATATTGTATAACAAGATGGTGATACATTAATTCTTCACATTTACAAAATAAACCAAATGATGTAAAAAATTTATTGAACCTTATCATATAGACTTATTTTAGTTAAAACTGGTCTCCATATATTACAGCATAATAAAATGGCCTAATCTCTTCAATAATTCTCTTTAGTTCACAACAAGAAATAAAAGTCAATAGGAAATAATATATAATATCTCTTATTTTAAATACATTTTTCACCATACCCAAAGCATAATAACGTCAACTTTTACTGCACAAAAGAGATACAATGGGTATATCAATATCTTCTATTTCAAGATGCTCAGTGAACTTGTACATATAATATGTGGAACACAACTCACAACACACCGAGGCTCTTATTTCCAACCATCTACATCACCTTTACCACACTCCTATCATCCATTGTGGCCAAGAAACAGAAGTAGATTCTAAAATTCAGAAATGAGAGTTGTGTACACAAACTGACGTTGTATTTATGGTAAATAGTACTTAAGGTTTGGAATGGTCCAATAATATTTACTGAAAGTGGTCAAAATGCATCATAAACATCTGAAGAGAGTTATTAGTATACAGCAATAAGCTAAAAAATCAGACTTGAGAAATGGCATGATGATATGACAGGGAAATACGGCATAATAAGCACTCCAACATTAACAAGCCTAGGGATATTCAGTTGATACCAAATAGCATAAACCATATAAAAATTTATGCTTATTATGATGAATGTAAAGGATCCATTCATTTACTATGACATCCTTATATCAGATGTGCCGTAAGATACCAGTGCATTTTTTTTAAAGAACTGTATAGGTTGGCCACCGAATTTCCGGCAATCACTGGTCCGGAACCTTTGATGCTCTGGACAGTTTTACAGTGGTGGAATTTCAAATTTAATGCACATTTATGGTGAACAATAGCTACCTGGGACATGCTTGTGGTAAGCTAACCTTACCAGGCTGTGAGGTGTTATGGTTATTTTTTAAATCGTAATTTTGGATACGCATTACATTACTATTTTTTTTATTCTGTTACATGCACACACAATCTTACATACAGAATGTGCAAAAAAATTATCATAAGGTCTACAACACAAGAGTGAGGGTGGATGGAGTGAGGAATCTCAGTTGTCTCGTGTGTAGTCAAACGATTGAAATATTTTGTCGTCCAGTCGCCAAATGCTAATACTGTAGAGTATTTTTTCTTATCCTTTTCATTATTATTATTTTGATTTATTCCTCACTTTACTGGTAGTAATATCTCCATTAGCCGGAATCCCTCAAACCCGGAGCTCTCCGATGGCCGGAACTGAAATTTTCTCGGAAAATCGCTCCCAAAACTCTAATTTTACGGAAAATTCCGGCTTTGGGAGTGATTTTCCGAGGGGCACATTTTCCGGAAAATTATGAGAAAATTTTCTCGATAACCGGAAAATTCTGGAAAATTCCTGGGTTGGGAGAGTTTTTTCCAGGTTTGATAGATGAAAATCAGGCGCATTTTCCGTAAATTCCGAGAAAAATTTTCAGGTACCAGGAAAATTCCAGGAGTGGGGGATATTTTTCTGTGTCAGAGAGATGATGTAACAGGCAATTTCTGGAACTTCCAAGAACATTTTTCCGTTACCCGGAAAATTCCCGGGATGAGGGATATTTCCTCTCTTTGAAAGAGTCGTCTCGTTACCCGGAAATCTCTCATTCCCAGAAGTGCTCTGCACCAATGTTCCGGCTAACGGAGATATCACTTACATATTATCTTATTCCTCATATGAGTTGGTAACTGGTGGGAATTAAGTTTCAGAGTTAGTAGCACTGTTCATGTCAGCTGTGATGGTGGTCACGGCCAAGACATGTCACGGCCAGCACTCGCCATCTTCCGAGCACCATTATTGTCAACTGTTCAAAAGGGTTGGTGCTCATCACAGGATCTGTCTTGAGCACTTACTAAATATTACTGTAGTGTATAAAGTGTCTCCATATCCCCAGGTTTATTCACAGATCAGGAGCCTCAGTGCAAACATAGCCAAATCGAGCCATCATGTATCAATTAATTTTAAAATAGAATTAAGAAATTAAAATGTTACAAGACAATGGTTTAGTAGTGCTGTTATTTTGTTTGCTGTGTAAGTGCTTTGTCACGTCACCTCACCCCTCGCATCATCGCCTCGTCACCTCACCACCTCACCCCTCGCATCATCAGCTCACCTCGCATTGTTACATTTATTTATTACTGTATTACGTATTTACTTTATTATTACTGTATGTACAGTGTCATTCAAGATTCTTCGAACACTGCTGGAGACAGCTGGCAACTCAAGGCCGTTTGTTTACTATAGTACGTAGTATAATATAATACGAAACAATAAAGCCCAACCATTAAATTAAGCAACGGGGAACTAAGTAACCAATCACTGATCACTTTTACATTTATTCAAAATTTTTACTACATACTATAGTAAACAAACGGCCTTGAGCTGCCAGCTGTCTCCAGCAGTGTTCAAAGATTCTTGAACGAGACTGTACATTTAGAAAATATTTTTGTTTGCACAGTAATTAAACAGATAATTTTATGTGCCAGCCAAGACAAGGCGCAAAAACTGAACAGAAAACGAACGACTAATCGGAAATTGTCGAATAATGTCAAAATATTCCGAACTCGGTTTATTCAGATTTTTGGGTAATTCGAGCGACCCAGATTCCATTTTTTGTCAAATTAACTAGGGTATAGCATACCCTACTTTCAGAAATATAATTGTAATCACCTCTATATTATGACTCATCTCCTTGGGAGCGAAGTAATGCAGCGGTTTATGTTAAGTAAACAATAAAATTCCATACACCCTGCACCTGTTTTCATTTAATTTTCTTTTAATAATTGCTTATGCTATGTAATATTGATTTTCTATCAGCCCAAAGTGCTTTAGAGTTAGCGTGATGTGTATAACTATTGGGTCGAAGGTTACGGGAGTGGAAGGTCCCCCAAGACCGTGACCACCCATGGTATGGCAAAATTGCTGGTCCGGCATCGATCCGGCCCCGTTGGTGTCAGAAAATCGGTCGTCAACCTCTATCATAATATATAGACAGAATTACGCGCAATGTGTAAGGATTTACTGAATCTAAAATTGGAACTTCTTTCTTAAAGTTCAAGCATTAATGAGTGCCTTTTGACTTTTCTTGATTTATTCTACTATTACCTCTCTCTATCCAAAAACCTACTTCCTATATGGAACATAATCACTGGGTTAATATTGTTATTATAATGTGAAGAGTTTCTCTTCCTCTGTATGTATGTATGTATATAACCAATTTCTGCACTGATGGTAAGGAAGCCACAGCAAAGTCTTCCTTAAATGTTTCAGCCATTGGCCACCAAGCCCTTCAGCAATGAAAACTGCACACCAACACTTGAAACATCTGCTGACAAATCTTGCATGTTGGCTTGGTGAACATTAAGGGAAGCATTTGTCACTCACTTGAACTATGGAAGAAGTGAAAAAGAATGAGGGTGGTCTCAATCAGTGTACAAAGGGGGGGAAATGCATGAAAAAAAATGATAAGTAAAAGCAAGCACTGTAACATATGAAATTTTTCAAAAAATCCCTGAAGTATAGTGTGGAGTCCAACCTAGAGGGCTGAAGAAAAGACCCTTCTATAAAGGGAATAGTACTTCTTCCACAACACTGCTTCCATAAACAACCAAGGTAAATTATCTATCAAGTGTACAAAGAAGAAAAAAAATTCTTAGGCCATTACTTGAAAGTACTCAATAAAAGATTAACAAAACAAACACAATAATGATAATATCAAACTGCACCCTGACAGTATGCTTTAACAAAGTCCAATTACCACTGCATTTCTCCTCAGCCTTCCTCTGCTACACCTAAGGAGTTGAGACTTGATGCTAATGAGCTGCCAAGTGTTGATGAAATGTCTTGGTATGAAAACTGGTTGAAATTCTGCAATGAACATAAAATATCATTAATAAAATGTAACACATTTGTATCATGTATTATTCTCCCTCACTTTATTTCACCTCCCTCTCCTCAACCTAACTTCCCCACTTTTCCTTTACTTATCCCTGTAACACTTATTCTCATCATTTCCCTTAGCTTACCCTTGTTCCCCTTCCTCCGTCTTTTTACCCATATCTCTCTTCCTCATTCACCTTAACCCCTCGTGGTCTTTCGCACAAACTGTGTCTCTACCCGTACACACTCCTGTGCTGGCGCAGCCCGTCCCGTTCAACCATATCTCACACTGAAAGCACTCCTTCCAAAAGCAAAAATACAGTACCAGTGAACTGGCCCTATCAACCATCTAAGTCCCTCCCACTAGCCTCATGGGCTGGCAGATGCATCTCCTAAGCATGGAATTTGGGTGTGGATCGCCCTACCCAATATTTTCTTAAATGGAAAACCCATTCCTTTTACCGACGCAACCTGTGTCGAGAGACTGCAGGTGAGATTTCCAACTATGAACAAGAGTACCAGAAGGTTAACAATCACCCTCCCCCTTTCTCACCTTACGTATCTCCTCCCTCCCTCACCTCACCGATTTTCCTACCCCTCCCTCACCTTACAAATCCTTCCATCTTTCTCTCAACTTAGCCACCTTCCCTTCCAAGTTTACAAATCTCTCTCTCTCACCTTTCCCATCTTCCTCTTCTCCCTCCCTTACCTTGTCCTCTTTCCTCCCCCATCTCCTCCATTTTTCCCAGTCATTTTCATTTCTTTACTTTAATTAAACAGTAATAAGTTGAAAACCTTTTAAGAATTATCAAATTTATCAATGCCCAGAGAAAATTATGATTGCCAGTTTAAAAGCATTTAGATCACACCAATAACACTTACTAGGTATTCTGATTCCTCATCAATAACGTTGAGGGGCTCTGCTTGATCAGGTGGGGTAAGCTGCACAGATTCTCCAGTGAACTCTCGATCAAAATACCGGGTGTCAGTTTCACTAGTTACTTGGGGTTTGAATGGTGGCGTTAACTGAAGAAAAATAATTAAATATTATATTAAAACAGAAGTCATCCTTTTCAAATCATAATACAATAACAAGGAAAGCTAATGCAATGCCTGCCTATCTGAGAAGAAATTATTACGGGCATAAGATGGAATATACAGAAAGGGTTACAGTATTCTTAATAAAAAGACTCCTTGTACAAAGTTCATTCCTAGTTTTTAAAAAGGTGGCATAGTGGTTATCATACTATGTTGGAAGGCCACAGGTCCTGGAGTCAAATCCTCACTGAAGAGGCAAAGTGTGTTTGACATCCAGTATGAGCCATGAGTGCTGTAGTCTTACCATTTTTCAACTGGTTTGTCATAAAAAACCTATGTGGTTCACAAGAACCTGGATTGCAGAAAGAGCTAAATCTATCCTCTATGGATTAAGTGATATCCAACCTGAGTACCAATTACCCTGTGTGTTGACTAATATATATATATATATACAAGGAACAGATTGTGTATACTATTGGTCTGTACAAGTCAGTTAAGGATATTGTGAAAAGTGTTGGTGTAAGTGAGAGATCTGTACAACAATGGATCAGGAAATTCAAGGATGGAGGAGGGGTGGCAACACTGGTCCATCCTACATGCCCTGGGAGGGCCAGGAAAACCTCAGCACATTCTCCAACAGTAATCAAAAGGCAAGTTGAGTCAAATCCAAGATTAAATGCAAAGGACTTAAAAGGAACAAAATCCCAGGATCTTCGGTGAAGTCTCAGTTAGAACCATTCACCGGTGCCTTCGTGACGATCTGAAGTATCGCAGCCACCGCCCCCCGAAGAAGCCACTCACCACCCTTTAGCAGCGAGAGCGTAGGGTTGCTTTTAGCAAGAAAAATCAAGTGTGTCATGCGACTAAGTGGAAACACATGATATGGAGTGATGAAGTGACCTACACTGTAACTGGTAACATGGCTGGTAACGGTTCCTGCCAGAAGGTAGTGATGTGCTGATCCCTAAATATGCATGCTACACTGGTGCAGGGTTGTTTTGCCGAAAAATCAAACAGTTAATCAATACAACTACTTGGAGCTTTTGTGTGATTATTTGACCAGGTCATTTGAAAAGTTTAATGCCAATACGTTTATGTAGGATGGTGCACCTTGTCATACTGCCAAGTCAGTAGTAGGGTGGCTTCCTGATTGTCATGTGAACTTTATTGAGGACTAGCCAGGCAATTCACTGAATATTAATCCAACTGAGAACCTATGGGCTATCATCAAGCAACGTCTGTTCCTCAATGTCTGGGGGAAGTGTATAAAGAAGAAGGGGAAGCCAATTGACTACTAACTGGTTGGTGAGTACACACTTTGATTTTTTTTGCAATTTTGTTTATTTGTCGCGACTGGTGTGAGAGGATGCTGCCTACTTCTTTGTCGAGTACTAGTAATTTGCACCAAACAATGTGCTCAGTAGAAAACTGTCCACTAAATGTAGACAACTCCTGTATGGAGCAAATACATATACAGTACTGCAGTTTCTAACCTTTTTTTCCTCAAGGAGTTTCCAGTTGATAGTTACATAAAAGGGGTGACTCTGGACCTCCCTCACATCACCTGGACCACCCCCAAGACGCTTGTTAGGATCCTTATGCAACAAACCTTTAAGTAGATCACGTGCTTCTTGGGAAATTGTCCTTGGGAAACGAACCTGGGAAAGATGCAATAATTTATAACTTATCTTCATTTTACAAAGTAAGCAGAGTCTATGCAATACACTAGAGAATACTCACAGCAATATCCACGATAGCCAGAATCCTTGATTACCGGTACTTTCCAATACCCAAAAAACAAAAAATCCTAACAATTCCAAAAACATGGGTGGGTTAGTTATATGGAGAACTTAGGTCATAGACCCAGAGTTCTCATGCACTGTGATTGGCTACTACTGCCATGTAATTGCATGGGATGCCTTTGATTGGCTGATTTATCTTACAGCCTATCTCCTCAAACTCATGCATCATGTTGTGCTCTTAGTTCATTGTCTGCTGCCATTGTACAAGCTTGTTTGCTGTGATATGAAGACTGTGTTGCCACTTGGCAATCTTGTCACTAGCACAAGACAGCAGAGCCATGAGAGAACGCCACACCATCATCACTCTCTTGTGCTATCTCCCACACATGTAATAAATGTTTAATCCCTGTATGTTTTTTACTTTGTAATAATTATTTTTTTGCTTACCGGTAACTTTGTTTGCATATTCTGTATGAAAAATTGTGTGTGCATGTAACAGAGTTAAGAAAATTAAGTACATCTACCCAAAAAATGCGAGGTGAAAAATAACAATAATGCAGCTCACAGCTTGGGAGGCAGAGATACAGACACCTCACCCCCCTCCCGCTCCCACGATCTACACTCATTTCCTAGGACGTAAAAATATGTTTATTGTCTTTGTTTTTTATCTTACTTTTTTTTTTTGCACATTCTGTATGAATGATTGCGTGTAGATGTAACACAGTTAAAAAACCAAAAAAAAACTTACGTATGTCTACCCGAAATTATTTACAGTGGCAGCTGAAGGATCGCAACTTACTACTGTACACGTATATATCATGTAAGGTAAATGAAAATAAATCTTTATTGTGTATAAATTTATAGTTTTTTATCTATTTTGTATAAATTTATTGATTTTATATCTATTTATAAAATATTTGAGCTATTTCAACACTATATTATCATTTAAGCAGCAGGATATAAAACTTTTTTGGGCTACTCAGGGGCTCAGGAATGGAACCTATTTTCCCCCATAAGTTATTAATATCAACATCTGATCGATGCCTGTACAGCATGTGTACATGACAGTTGTCAACCTACAGTAGATGGCACAGGACATTGGTAGGCCATCCTGTACCATCATCATATTATCATTTGGTCTGCCTTCATCACAAGCTCAAGACGACAGCATCTGCTGGCGAGTACAATATACTGTACAGTGATCCCTCGGTTAACGAGCGCCTCGGTTAACAAGATTTCGGTTAACGAGTTACCTTCCATAAGATTCTTAACTTCGGTTAACGAGCAATCCCCCGATTAACGAGTTTTTTACGAGCCGACCTCAACATGTTTTCGCTTGCATTTGGCGGTCCACCAGCTGTAGTATTAGTCCGCTAATACAGAAATCGGTTCTAGGGCTTAAATTCCTTACTATTTTAGTAAATATCAAGAAGTTTATACTATTCAATAATTTTAAAAGTTTTATATTAATTTTTTTTAGTCATTTTAACAATTATTGAACAAAATTGAAGTACAGTAAAAGTCCAAAAATCCGGATGCCAGAAATCCGGACCACCCGAGAATCCGGACTTTTCGAAAACTCAAATTTTTTTTTTTTAGCGGGCTTTTGTGTGTATGTGCGCCTGCGTGAGCGCCACAGCTGCACAGCGACTACAAGCGACCACGTAGCTGCCACTTTAAAACGAGCAATCAAACTGTGACAACATGTGTAATTTTGAGTCCTACTCTTTCCATGTACAGAGTACAAGCCCATAATAATGGCTCCTAAAGTAGATAAACTTCGTTGTGTGAAGAGAAAGAAGAACACGTTGAAATTGAGTGACAAACTTGAAATAATTAAGAAACTAGAACGTGGTGTGAGCAATACTGTTCTAATGGAAACATACCACATTGGAAAGTCTACAATTTATGATATAAAAAAAAACAAAGAATAAAATTCTAGAATTCAAAGTTTTTTCTTTAAAACTGCTCATTTTGAAGCATACTATATTTGCTAATGAATAAATTATCAAAATGTACCTGTTCATCTCTTCTTTATTCTTCCTTAAATTTGAATTTTAAAAGTACTGCCTGAGAATCCAGAAAATCAGAAAATCCGGACCGACCCAATCCCCAAGCAGTCCGGATTTTTGGACTTCTACTGTATAGGAAGCTAGTTTTTTGCCCGCCATACAGGCGTCAGTCTCTGTGTCTTTTCAGTGGAGGTAACATCTTGCTTGAGACTCTCTTCAACTAAATGCTTTTTTCTGTGTTTCCAAGCAAATTTTTGGTCAATTTAAAATTTATTTTACATATATTGACAATACCGTATATAATACAGTGCAATGTTGATTTAAAGAAATTAATCTTGAATTACACCAAGAGAACTAAAATTTTATGGGTGAAATGGCACCATGGGGTGACTTCTCTTCCACCCCAATGCCTTCTCTTCTCCCTTCTCCTCCACCCCCATTCTAATTCCCATCATCATCATCCAGGAGCCATCTACATACACACCTCGAAGTAAGTGTACTTTACTACCTTTTTTGTTGATTTCAGGCAATTTTCGGTGAGCTGGAACCAATTACCCAAAAACCCATTGAAACAATGGTTTCGGTTAACGAGTTTTTCGGTTAACGAGCAACCTTCTAGAACGAATTGTGCTCGTTAACCGAGGGACCACAGTAGAATTTTGTTTATTTACAATACATATACTGTACAGTAGTGTTTGCATAAATGAATACAGCTTTGTGGCTGTCTATCTGCAGTTAAGCCTCATGGTTAGTATTGTATTCATGCTAGTAGAAGCTGCCAAGCTGCTTATCCCTGGCAATTATGATCAATGCCAGATGTGATATTTAGACTCGGAAATATTCACCAATGCCCGGAAAAATTCTGTAAATGTGTGATGTTTTCCAGGATAAGGATATGTCTAAAAATCCAGAAAATCGAACATGGAAACGTTCTGCACCAATTGTTCCGGCTATCGAGGATATTATTATAAATTTAAAACAATGTTTTATGTAATACAGTGGAGATTAATGTGAAACAACATTATATGTACTGTATATGGGATTCAAACAGGCCTTGGAACAAAAAATCAAGTTGTTTTCAAGGATTCTCATAGACTTTTTTCCTTTCCCTTTTCAAGGAGCTGTGTCTTATATCAACTATGCAGTGAAGCAGTACACAGTTATTAAATAAAATACAGTCAGCACTTGTACATCGTACATTCCCTATACTTATGTGAATGTATAGAATCGTAGGATCAGTGTGCCAAATCAGGCTAGGTTGACAGAGCACCCGTTCCCAAAGCAATTTGAGAACAAAATGTATCAGTCTAACTGTTATGTGTGCAGCATCATCCCTGCAAAGTGTTTCAAAAGGGGAAAATGGAATTGCAAGCAAATACAGTCAACATATTTTTATCCACACTGTCCAGATAAGCTTGCATTGTATGTGGTACAGTACTGTATTTTGAAGAGTACCACACAAAGACTAAATATAAGAAAGACTCACAGTTAAGTAATGTTTGTATATACCACGGTTTGAATATATATTTTTCAAGAACCTTGTTCAGCAGTATTTCACAATTTGAATTGAGATTACCACAATGTACAGAGAAGGATTTGCTATAGGAATAAAAATCATGACAAAATAAGGAATTTGTTTCCCATTACTAAATTTCCAACTTTTCAAGAACCAGTATATAATGTTCCTATGTTTTGTAATAATCTTGACTTGCTATTGATTAAGTTTTGTAAAATTTAATGTCATTTACTGGAGAACTTTTTTTCTTATTTATAGATCATTATATTTCACTATTCATTATTGTTTTCAAGGAATACTACTGTCAAACATAGAAAGTACAGCTTCTCTCAATATTGAAAAAAGTATTACAAAAGGTAAAATTCGTAATTTTACTTTTTTGGTGGATAATTGACACTTTTAATGAATATTACTGAAAAATAACTGGCCCATAAAAGGGTTAAAGGCACATATGAACATCTAATACTTACATCCTCACAAACTATGAGCTGGAAGAGCTTATCATGATCTTTATCGTAGAAAGGTAAGCGGCCAACCATCATCTCATACAAACATACTCCATACCCCCACCAGTCCACACCTCGACCATAATCGTTTTCTTCAAGTACCTGAAATAATAATAATAATAAAATAATCGATATTGTCATTCCATAAATCAATCAGCTTTTTTTTATTACTTATTACACTGTACATCAATGTTATAGAATATGCTAATAAAAATTCTTCATTCATGTTCATCAACCTTCCCCCATTCCTTACTGAAAAAAAGTAAGTCGAGGCTTCCTTAACCCTCTTGTGGTCTTTTGAAACAGAATGCACTCCCGTGCTGCCGCGACTCCTTCTGCTCGGCCATATCTCACAATGAGAGCACCCGTCCCATAAGCAGAAATGAGGGAACAGTGGACCAGCTCTATCAACCACCTAAGTTGCACCCACTAACCTCATGGGTTGGCAGATGCATCTTTAAGGGTGCAATTTGGGCTTGGATTGCTCTACCCAATGTTTACTAAAATGGATAATCCGTTCTTGTTACTGACCCTATTTGCATCAAATGACTGCGGGATGTTGAGATTTCCAACCATGGCCAGGGGTACCAGAGGATTAATGCTGGAGTACTTCAATGACATTCACCAGTGCCCTTATCATATACTATATGATAAGGGCACTGGATTATATACTTGGAGTGGCAATTTTAATATCAGTATTAGTGTTGGATCTTTTTATCAATAAACAGTATTTGTTTCCAATTTGTTCATGTACAAATAATTGTGGATTTGGTTTGTAGTACGTACATTATATATTTTTATTCCCAAGTCTTTGACTCTGTAGTCTTTTGAATGCTAGTGAACTCTTTAGAAGAACTGGTGCTTTCATGAAACAGACTAGCTATTATTATTATTATTATTATTATTATTATTATTATTATTATTATTATCATCATTATTATTATTGTTATTATTATTATTAAAATTATTATAATTACATGTACTGCATTATTATTATAATTACTGTATTATTATTATTATTATTATTATTATTATTATTATTATAATTATTATAATTATTATTATGAAATTGGCACATAGTACAGGGTACTTGCACTAAACTGCCTGCTTTGATGCTCAGGCCTATAATGGATTACCATGAAAAATGGGAAAATACTAATAAATTTGAAGGACTACTAAATCAGGTCACCTGTTTGATATGTTAACATTAGTTCTGAACTTTTGAGAAGCAAGAAGGAAAACTTGCACATAGAATACAAAAACAGATAATCTGAGATCAGAATACAGTACATTTCAAGTTACCTCTGGAGCTAAATATTCAGGAGTGCCACAGAAGGTGCGGGTGGTGGAACCATATGAGATGTCTTCTTTGCAGAGGCCAAAATCTGCTATTTTAATGTGACCATCAGCATCCAGCAATAAGTTTTCCAACTGTAAAGAAATTTGTGTCAGCACATGCCAACTCCTAACTGTTACTGGAATGAAAAAGCATTTCATTAAATGACTGAGAAAAAAGAAAAGAAAAGAGGATACAATAAACTATCTTACTAGAGGCGATGGATTATACACCAATTCCCCCAGTAATGTCATTTCAGTCAATATTGTTTCATTATAGCATTGTTAAACAATTGAAAATACTGCATGTATGAAAATGATAAATGTACAACAATTTAAAAAAATTTGGTGCGAAGGGACACAGTGACTGACACTGATAACAGCCAACTGTGTAAGTGGCCGGCATAGGTGCCATACAGTATTTGTTTGATATTGTTCTGTGGTTGGTTGATGCTCTTCCAAAATTGACTTAAAAACCAATTATAAATTTATTTGAGCCCTAAAACAATGAGGGCAAAATGTGCATTATGCACCACTGCTGCTTGTGGTCACAAAAAGAAGAGGAAAAGTATCACAGAAGATAAATTAGATATGGTAAAGAGATTTGAAGAAGGACAGCAAGCTGTGAACATAGCAAGGTCTGTCAGTTTGCAACCTACAACTGTACGAACAATTCGTGGAAATGCAGAAAAAATTAAATCATGTGCTAAAAGTTTACTCCATTATCTGTTGCAAAGTTAACTCGTAAGAGAAGAGGCATTAAGGAAAATATGGAAAGAATGCTAAACATGTGCTTTGAGGATCAACATGAACAAAACTCTCCATGTTTGTTGCTCTTCATACAGGGAAAAGCTCCAAGTTTATTAGAAACTTTAAAACAAGCAGAAGGTAATCGTGCTAAAGTGAAATCTTTGTAGCAAGTCATGGGTGGTTTGAACAATTTAAGAAGTGTTCAAACTTGCACAACATACACATTACGGGTGAGTCTGCAGTGCAGATAAAGAAGCAGCTGTTGCTTATCCAGAAGTATTGAAAAAATAATTGAAGATGGTGGATACACACCACAATAAGTGTTCAATGTGGATGAAACAGGTCTGTTTTGGAAACGAATGCCAGTCACAACATACATTTAAAAGGAAGAGAAATGTGCACCTGGTTTCAAGGTGGCCAAAGATCACCTGACTCTCTTGCTTGGGAGTAATGTTGAAGGAGATTTGAAGCTGAAGCCACTGCTTGTTTATCATGCTAAGACACCATGGGCTATGAGGGGCTACTCTAAAGCTCATCTTCTTGTTTGGTGCTCAAACAAAAAGGGCTGGGTCACTACAGCAGTGTTTGAAGAGTGGTTTACTGGATATTTCTGTCCAGCTGCCTAGGAATATTGTCAGAAAAATAACCTTGAACACAAAGCATTACTGATTTTAAGTAATGCTCCAGGCCACCCACCACAACTGGATGACTAGTCAGATAATGTCAAAGTCATTTTCCTGCCTCCAAACACAACTTCCACAATTAAACCTATGGATCAGGGGGTTATATTGACCTTTAAGGCCTATTATTTGAGGTGCACGTTCAAACAATTGAGTTTACAGAAGGTGAAAATAGGCCCACTATTAGGAAATTTGGCATGCCTACCACATCATGAAAGCTATTGACAATGTCTAAGGCACGGCAGGAAGTGAAATCAACAAATATGAATCTTGTTTGGCGTAAAATCTGACCATAATGTATTGGTGACTTCGTTGGATTTGACCAGTCAATAAGCAAAGTTCATGAAGAGATTGCTGGATTGGCACAGCAAGCTGCATTAAATGAGGTAAAAGTAGAAGATGTAATGGAGTTACTTGAATCAAATAATGATCTCATGCATGTGGAATAACAACAACCAGCTGAGCAAGAGGACGATGAAAGTGAAGAGGCATTACCAGCATGATCCTTATTAATAAAATATTTATTTGTCTAAAGTTTTTGAGTATTTGGTAAAAGTTATGGCAATTTTCACTGAAAAAGACCCTCAAAGGAAAAGAAGTTCACAAGCCAATAGAATAATAACAAGTGGATACAACTGTTAAATGGATTTCTACAAACAGAAAAAAAAGATGCACGTCAGCTAACACTGGACACAATTTTTTAAACGTCCATCTGAACAACAAAAAAACAAGACCCAGTAGGCAGTAGGCAGCTAACAAACAGGGAGGTACTACTGCCTGGGAAGATATTGGAAGCATAATGTATTGTCTATTGGTAGACCCTGCTGCCATATGGCATCACAAAAATTGTGATCAAGTCCCAGGTTGTTGATCTAACTTTCTGCCTCATTTACACACAATTGCAGGGTTTCAATTGTTTATCTTACTTTAACAACACAATATACATATATCATTTCTCACTATTAATCTCTTTTTTATTTATTTATGGTCCTTTAATATCATTATTATTGTTATTATTATTATTATTATTATTATTATTATTATTATTATTATACTGTATTATATTTTTATTCAATATTTTTCTCATTTTTTTTATATTAATTTTTATTATTATTATTATTATTATTATTATTATTATTATTATTATAATCCCCCCCCCCCCCAGGCCCTGATGTGGGTCATTGACCTGTGCCCTGGTGGGTTAGACCTGTATAAAAAAAAGGCAACACCACCACTTACCACACCACCCCACCTTGAGGCAATACCAGTCCCCTCCAGCATTTCTCACAACACATTTGAGGGATTTGAAATGGACGTTGATTTATCCAAGCACACCTCCAGTGATGATGACAACACAGATTCTCCTCTACCTCCCAGTGATGATGAAGGGGAAGTGGGGCCCCAGTAGCCTCCCTACCACTATGTCCAGTTCTGCATCAGCCATCAAGTACATATTATCTTATTTGTGTTTATTAATCTTAGTTGTACGTTTAGTACACATTTATATTTTGAATAGTTTATTTTTTTTGGTCTTTATTCATTGACTGCATTTGAAAATTTTGACCAGGAATGTACCCAAGGAACATAACCCCTATTTATATCATTGTGTCTATGGTAAAAAATTTTTAATCTAAAGTCGTTTCACTTAAAGTCGTGATTTTTAGGAACCTAACAAAGACATTAATGGGGGAATTAATTGGTGTAGTCTGTTCAAGTTATTCTCTGCAAGTACAGTATTGCACAATATCATTCTATCCACAGCAGAACACATTTATGAAGTATTAATTAATAATAAACAAATTCATACCTATAAGACATTGAATAAAAAACGGGACCACAAACATCACTTTTGTCAGACAAAATTGCCTTTAGTACCTTTAAATCACGGTAAATTATATTTCTTTCATGTAAATAACCGAGGGCGAGGCAGATTTCTGCTCCATAAAACTTGGCACGCTCTTCAGGAAATATGTGCTCTTGATTAAGATGGAAGAACAGTTCCCCTCCGTTGACATACTCCATCACAAAGCAGAGACGGTCATTTGTTTGGAATGAGTATTTAAGGTACTGCAAAAAACAAAATACATGTAATGAAAACTATGCTTTTCTTTTAACACAGCACAGGAACAGTATCATTATCAAAATTTTACAAGCCTTTTCCATGTTTACTAGTAATAGCCAAATAAAAACTAAATTCAGACATTCATTCATTCCAGACAACCACAGCAGATACAGTCCATAATTCTGTAATAAAATTTCATACTTTAGAAGTAAATTAAAATGTGGTGAAAATTTAACTCACGGTGAGGAAGGGATGATCCACCACCTGCAACACACGGTTCTCCGTCAATGTGTGGGCCACCTCATCACGCTTTATAATCACGTCCTTACGTAGGATTTTGATAGCATAGAAATGATTACTGCTCTGTTGGAGGATTAAATTTATTAATAATCAAACTTCATATCTTCTTAACATCAAATATCTAGGATACAGTATTAATATTCATCTTGACTTCATGTCCTCCTTACAAAATTTATTTTTTTTAAGTGATGAATACACATTAACAATCCTCTCCTAAATAGATATTTTACTGCAATGGAGGATTATGCTCACTCTTTCTACACATTTAGTGATCAAAATAAGAAAAAATATATTCTCAGCATCATCTTACCTTTTCACGACAAAGAATTACTTTTCCAAACGTCCCTTTCCCAAGTACTTTGAGGAACTCAAAGTTATCTAATGTCTGCAGAGAAAGAAATTATATAAATATGTAAGAGATTCTTTAAAAACTTCAGCTATTGTGCAAAAAACCTTCACACTTACGAGTACTGACTGACAGCCTAACATTAGCTCAAACCAATTGATTCTTTTTTAAATATTGTGTCATTCTATGCCACCTAACATCTTTTTATCATGTGTTAATAACCAACCACAATCATACATTAGAGAGGTACAGGTTGTACCCCTCTAGTCCGGCATTCTGTGGTCCGGAAACTACCGTGGTCCGGAACGATTTTAGTTTGTCCAATAGGTAAAGAGGCAGCTTTTTTTTTTCTTTTTTTTTTTACTTATCTGAATTATTATTATTATTATTACAGGAGTATTAAATTTTTGCCCCTCAGGTCCCAATGTGGGTCAGTGACCTGTGCCTAATTGAAAAACACAACAAAGCCGCGGGAAATTAAGGTTTGTTTACATCTGGCAGTTCGACCGCTCTCTCTCTCTCTCTCTGCTTGTCTATACAGAGTACAACATTTAACCCTTCAGTATATATGAGCAGTAAATAAGTGTTGCTTTCATATTCTTATGTAGAGTAATGACGATATGTTTTCACATGTGCGCACTTACATACGCGCAGTCTCACTTTTTTTTACCATTAATGGTTAGCTACTTATATTGTTCCATTTATTAACATTAAATAACATTACAGGTACTGTACTTCAAACAACCATATTCATTTTTTACATTAATTTTACTACAGCTACAATCAGGGTCTTATTTTCTTCAGTTTTATATGTTGAACCAATCAGTCACTGGTTTCATAAGCTTTAACATAAACAATGCCGGCAGCCGTCTCGTCTCCTTGTGTGTTTTAATATTCCACGTATTATTAATAAATTGTATTGTTAATTTGCACACACAAACATTAATTCAATAAAAACAAATTCAGAAACATTAATTAAAATATATATGAACAGTAAATAAGTGTTGCTTTCATATTCTTATGTAAAGTAATGACGATATGTTTTCACGTGTGCGCACTTACATACGCGATCTCTCTTTTTTTCTTTACCATTATCGTTAGCTACTTCTATTGTTCCATTTATTAACATTAAATAACATTACTTAAAACAACCATATTAATTTACTACAGCTACAACCAGGGTTTTATTTTCTTCAGTTTTATATGTAGAACCAGTCAGTCACTGGTTTTGTAATCAACGAAAACAATGCTGTCTCATTTCCTCGTGTTTTAATATTCTACGTATTATTAATGATTTGTATTGCTCATTTTGCACACACAAACATTAATTCAATCAAAAAGACTTTCAGTAATAAACAATAATGAATCTTTTGTACATAAGAGAAATGACGCTGTTTACACGATTGTGCACGTCGTCTGAACGTTGGTGGGCCGTTCAAACCCGTCGAAATTCGAGTTTCCGCCGTCAATATTTTTAAATGTGTTTTTTTTTGTGTGTTCAAATAGAAAACGTCGAATTAAAAACTCGCGAAATTTGAGAAACTACTGTACGACATTTAACCCTTCAATATGTCTTCAAAGAGACCATGAAGCAGAGAAAGTGGTGCTAGTGCTTCCAAGCGTAAGCACAAGTCACTATCTATCCAGGAAAAGGGTGAATTTCTATGGTCCGGAAATTTCCATGGTCCGGCACCGGTCAGGTCCCGAGGTTGCAGGACTAGAGAGGTATAACCTGTATCACCTCCCTCCAGCCACATAATACTACACCTTAAAACAATTTATTCAACTCCTACATATTTTTTATAGCAACATCTTTGATAATTCAAACTGTTCAGATACACTTCAGACTTTATTTCTTTTTCCATAGGATAACCAATACACAAGGGGGGGGGGGTTGCAGGGCAATATAATAACCAGCATCGCAGCACATTTTGTAAAAGAGCACTTCCCTGGCACTAAGCTAATACAATATGGAATTACTGTACATAGTGATTGCAATTCATCCATCACTGCATTGCAGATTTTGTTGTTCGCATTATTAAATTGTCATTCCTGTACAATACTTACAATTTTTCTTTTTTTCTTAGAACTTCGAGATCCTAGACTATCATCATCATCTTCACTCGAGTATTTCAACTGAATCTGTTCCACAGATTCTGCCTGCTGGATTTGCACACAATGCCCGGATGACTCAGCTATCCTCTCGGAAACCTGCTTTATGGCTTCCATCCATGCTTCCCTGTGGACAGCAAAAGAGTTACTATGCAACTAATGACTGCTTAAATACTATACAGTACTTAATAATCTAAAAATAACTGCAACACAAAATTTTTTAATTTACTACACTAATTATTTAAACAGTTTTTATACAATTAATGACTACTTAAAAACTACACCTTTACTACTGAAAAAGTTACAACAAATGACTGTTTCATTACTGCATTAAGTAGTTCAAAAGTTCAAATTATAAAAATGTAGATAAATCTTCATAATGAAAATTATTAATCGACAAATCTTGCTATATTTCTATCCAAATACAGGTTGTACCTCTCTAGTCCGGCATTCTGTGGTCCGGAAACTCTCGTAGTCCGGAACGATTTTAGTTTGTCCAATAGGTAGATAGGCAGTTTTTTTTTTTTTTCTTTTTTTTACTTATCTGAATTATTATTATTATTACAGGAGTATTAAATTTTTGCCCCTCAGGCCCTAATGTGGGTCAGTGACCAATTCCCGGGTGGGCTAATCCCCATAAAAAAAAAAAGCCGCAGGAAATTAAGGTTTGTTTACAACCGGCAGTTCGGCTGCTCTCTCTCTCTCTCTCTGCTTGTCTATACAGAGTACAACATTTAACCCTTCAATATATATGAGCAGTAAACGAGTGTTGCTTTCATATTCTTATGTAGAGTAATGACGATACATTTTCACATGTGAGCACTTACATACGAGCAGTCTCACTTTTTTTTTTTACCATTAATGGTTAGCTACTTATATTGTTCCATTTATTAACATTAAATAACATTACAGGTACTCCAAGCAACCATATTCATTTTTTTACATTAATTTTACTACAGCTACAATCAGGGTCTTATTTTCTTCAGTTTTATATGTAGAACCAATCAGTCACCGGTTTCGTAAGCTTTAACATAAACAATGCCGGCAGCCGTCTCGTCTCCTTGTGTGTTTTAATATTCCACGTATTATTAATAAATTGTATTGTTAATTTTGCACACACGTACATTAATTCAATAAAAACAAATTCAGAAACATTAATTAAAATATATATGAACAGTAAATAAGTGTTGCTTTCATATTCTTACGTAAAGTAATGATGATATGTTTTCACGTGTGCGCATGCGCACTTACATATGCGATCTCTCTTTTTTCTTTACCATTATCGTTAGCTACTTCTATTGTTCCATTTATTAACAATAAATAACATTACTTAAAACAACCATATTAATTTTACTACAGCTACAACCAAGGTCTTATTTTCTTCAGTTTTATATGTAGAACCAGTCAGTCACTGGTTTTGTAATCAACGAATACAATGCTGTGTCATTTCCTCGTGTGTTTTAATATTCTACGTATTATTAATGAATTGTATTGCTCATTTTGCACACATAAACATTAATTCAATAAAAAAGACATTCAGTAATAAACAATAATGAATCTTTTGTACATAAGAGAAATGACGCTGTTTACACGATTATGCACGTCGTCTGCACGTTGGCGGACCGTTCAAACCCGTCAAATTCAAGTTTCCGCCGTCAAAATTTTTATTTATTTATTTCAAAGAGACCATGATGCAGAGAAAGTGGTGCTAGTGCTTCCAGGCATAAACACAAGTCACTATCTATCCAGGAAAAGGGTGAATTTCCATGGTCCAGCACCGGTCAGGTCCCGAGGTTGCCGGACTAGAGAGGTACAACCTGTAGTACATAACAGACAGACCCAGTTACAAGCTAAACAAAATAATGAAACTGAAGGAATGAAGAATAAAATCCTACTTTATTGCCAAAGAGATGAGATTAGTAATATGCAAGATGTAACACTGCTGATGCCCCTGGCAGAGCCTACTATTGCAAAGGAACTCAACTGCTGTACAGCAAGATGATTTATCAGAGTGGACACTGTTTTAAGTTGCAAGTAGCCATCACATCCAATGATTCTGTGGATGCCTCAGCAGTCCAAGAGGATACAGTTCCAGAGACTAAGCTCGAAAACAAGGTTCATGCATCTAAGCTCACACACTTGTCAACCACCAGCGAGACAAGACGTGCCCTGAAGGCACTCCCAGTTTGAGCAGCCAGGCCGAGTCTGTTTGGACCCCCCCCCCCTCCCACTGCTATATCCCAACGCCCTACCAGCCTTACTACACCAGGATTTATTCAGCAAAACATTCAAGTGATCAGTGAACGATTGACTACCAAACAGTGTTCCTATAGTGCACTCCAAGGAAAAGCACGAAAACACAGCAGTGTAATACTGAGTGTGGCTGGATCTGACTTAACCTGACCTGACCTCACGGATACACCTGACCTAACCTGAAGGATGGAGCACACCTGCATTGCCCCAAGCTACTGCCCTGGCCACACACCTGCCCAACCGCATCCAGCCCATACGAGCACGAACTGATTGCTATAAGAACAGCCCAGTCTTTCTATTGTAAAAATTATCAACACCTAATTATTATATATCATATTTGTATCACTTATGTTACTTGTATATCATTTGTAAATCAAGAGACCCATTCCCCAATTATGTATTTATATATTTTCAGCCTTCCGGCTGCCATGCTCTTTCAATAAACCGTTAATTATTATTATTACAATAAATATGCTGTACAAACTTTACACTACAACTCAAGTAAGTCCCTGCCAATGTATAATCCCACTTTAGAGACAAGGGAGGGAATCTATGATACTTGGATCATCCTCTGTCTTCAGTACACTAACTACTATCACTACACAGTACAGTATAATTCACTGGTCCACCACGATGTATTACAGAATCAAGGATTCAGATCCTGCTTTGAATGGATAAAAATGTTGATTTCAGTATAAACCATTATTCATAGGTATAATGAGTCTGCCACTATGAAATCAAGCTTCCAGACAAAGTAGGGTTTGCCTTGGGGCAATTAGTGGTGATTTACCTGTAGGCTATAAAAAATGTTAATGAACATTACTGCACTATTCACCAAATTAAATACAGTATGCTTAATTTTTCTCAATATTTTTAAATCCTACCTATGGCTGAATTATTCCTACTACAAGCAATCTAACATGACATTAAAAAAAAAAAACATAATTCATATGGTTCAATCCTAATTCTCATAAACAATACTACTGTACTCTGTACATTACAGTCATTGTTATCATGACGACAAATTGAAGTACAAGTACAATGTTGCCTATATGCATTAAAACAGAGTAGTTAATAATGTAAACAACAGGTGGTGATCTCTGGCCTTAAAAAATTATATTCATACTTCTCTTCAGGGACTAAAATTAAATAGCCCCTCCAGCTAGCATTTACAGTAAATGTGGAAGTGAGTCCCATTGGCATGACTGCCAATTAAGGAGAAGTGTGGACTGAGCACACTGTATACTGTACTAAGCCTTCGGTGCAAAGGGAGGCAGCTTGGCCGGCACTGCACTCAATCGCCTTCACTTCCCCAACTGCAAAGTTTGGTACCCATTAACAGCTGGGTGGACTATGAGTACCCTGGGATCAAACCAACAACCCTTAGGACAGATGACGAGTACTGTATCCACTCGGTCACCACGCCCCATTTTAATTACTTTATCATCTTTTACATTTAATAGCCATTATGAAAGGCATAAAAAAGTTTCGAATTTTTTTCCAAATCATTATGCTTTTAACCTTATGACAGAAAACAGAATACACATAAAATTCTAGGCATTAGAGATCTTTGTTGTGCATTACACAAAGCTGTAACCCTGTAATATAACAGATAATGACCTGCAAAAATGAGGGCGGAAAAGTTTTACCTGTCACTGGCAGACTGGGCATTAAACGTGCGCTCAATGACTGTTGTCCAGTGGAGTCCACGAATGATAAACGTGTTAGGTCTCGGTCTTTCTGTCTTCAAGATTTGACATCGCTGCAAGAAAATATGGATAATTTTACTTCCTTAGGAATAAGAAAACATATGTACAATTTTGTTAAAATGGAAGAAGAGTACAGAGCTGCTCTAATAAACAATAAATTACAGTAGAGCCTCTGTACACTGGACTTCAATACAGTAATACCCCTGGAAAATAGAGCACTAGTATTTGAAACAGCGTTCTATGGATCATTATACCACTGCATATATGGAGACGCATACCTATGAGATATATAGAGTATTGTATGTGAAGGGCGTGTGGGTGGTGTTGGGGGGCATGTGGGTGGTGTTGGGGGGCGGGTGGTGTTGGGGGCGGGGTGGTGTTAGGGGGCGTGTGGGTGGTGTTGGGGGCGCAGGGTGGTGTGTGGGGTGGTGTTGGGGGTGTGGTGGTGTGTGGGGTGGTGCTGGGGGTGTGTGGGGGTGGGGTGGGGGTGGGGTGTGGGGGTGCTGGGGGGTGCTGGGGGGTGGTGGGGGGTAAAGGGGTGGGGTGCTGGGGGTGTGGGGTGGTGTTGTGTGGGTAGTGCTGGGGGTGTGTGGGGTAGTGCTGGGGTGTGGGGTGGTGTGGGTGGTGTTGGGGTGTGTGGGTGGTGTGTGGGAAGTTAGTGTGGGTGGTGTTGGGGTGTGTGGGTGGTGCTAGTGTGGGTGTTGGGGTGGGGTGGTGCTAGTGTGTGTGTGCTGGGGGTGTGGGTGGGGTGGGTGGTGTTGGGGGTGTGGTGCTGGGGGTGTGGGTGGTGCTGGGGGGGTGTGGGGGGTGGGGGTGGGGTGGTGCTGGGGGGTGGGGTGCTGGGGGTGGGGTGGGGTGGGTGTGTGGGGTGGTGCTGGGGTGTGTGTGGGTGGGGTGGTGCTAGTGGGTGTTAGTGTGTGGTGCTAGTGGGTGTGTGTGTTGGGGGTGTGGGGTTTTAGCTGTGTGTGGGGGTGCTGGGGGTGGGGTGCTGGGGGTGCTGGGGGGTGGGGTGTGCTGGGGGTGTGTGGGGTGGGGGGTGTGGTGGTGTGGGGGTGGGAAAGGGGGTGTGGGGGTGTTGAGGGTGTGTTGAGGGGTGGGGGTGCTAGTGTGGGGGTGTTAGTGTTGGGGGTGTGGGGGTGTCTGGGGGGTGGTGTTGGGGGTGTGTGGGTGGTGTTGGGGGGGTGTGGTGTTAGTGGGGTGTGGGTGGTGCTGGGGGCGTGGGGGTGCTGGGGTGTTGGAGGGTGTGTGGGGTAAAAGGAGGTGTGTGTGGGGGTAAGTGTGGGGGTGTTGGGGGGGGTGGGGTCTGGGGTGCCTGGGGGTGGGGGTGTTAGTGGGGGTGTTGGAAGGTGTGTGGGTGGTGTTGGGGTTAAACAGAGAATGCTTGGCACTGATTGGCCAAGTGAGTAGAAACAAAGAGCGCTGCTCATGGCACGCTGGGTGTGTTCGGACTCATGACTTTTGACTATAGTAATTATTTCTCCCTAGAGCTCCAAGATGCAAAGAAGCACTCTATGAGGTAGTGCTAATTGGGGTATTACTGTACACCTGAATTCACTTTTTAGGACTCTCTGAGGTGCTCCAACCAACCCCTTTATTCACCAGAAATATTTAAAAACACAGTGGCTATTTGTATGTATAATTTTTAATGTACCAGGTTAAGGTTTAAACACACATAGATGGGCATTGTGGCTTTTAATTTTTCCCATGTGAAATGTATGAAGGGAAAACATCTCATGTGCCTGGAGCTTGTTGTGTGGAGACGTTTCTTCTATAGTGGTTATGGACTGATTTAATTTATTTTTTTGTAATTGCTAATGGTTCCCCCAAAGCATCCTTCAAGATCTTTCAGTTCTTCCACTTAAAAAGATACCCCTATGAGGAAACATATTCATCATCATTACCACCATTTTAGTCATTTTCCACTCTTTGAGTGGGTTACTTGTGATCAAATAATGACATGGTGTCTCAGTTGCCATCAGGCAAATACATGTATGAAGGAAGTGGGAACTGAGCATTGTATGCTAGACTTTCAAGAGTACTGTATTCTTAACCAGCAAGGCTGGGTTGTGAACAAAGTTCCCTTTAAGTTAAGTGCCTGCACAGCCATACAACATTCCATCAAGTGCCACATTCTTAAATTTTACAGCGACACATATTGTCAGCAATATGTTATTCATCCCTCATTTTTATATTATTTCTACTTCTTGTACTGTATATCTTTGAAAACTTTTAAACAAATATATCATATAGAGTCTAGCTTTTTGTTTCTACTTGTGATGCACATTGAAATATTACCTTAATACTGTTGCACATCAAAATTCATTCCATGGTGCGATGTAAAAAAATTAGAGGGGTCCTTAGTCACTACTCTACTCCCTGAGGTAATAAAAGTTACCCATCAACTGGTAAAATTATTTGAACTTGGCTTTCCTTCGTCCCAACTGGCTGACACTGAAGATATCAAAAAGCCTTGAAAAATAGTGAAACAGTTGCAACACTTGGTAGGGCATACCAAGCAAACTAGTCTAGCATAATTGGAATTACAGTATATTTAAGTTCTAAGATAAGCCAGAACATTAACCCTGGGAACTGAACACAGTGTCACTGGCAGCCTTTTATCAGATTACATATACTGTACTGTAATGCACTGAAAATCCATTACACCTTGATAAAAACATACCTAGCATAATACAGCAGCATGATCCTAAGCAGTGATTGACTTACTGATGTAAAGATCTCTTCCCTATACATCCATGTAACATTCTCCGTAATTAACCATACTTTACTATATGAGGCATCGTAAGGTGCATTCAGATCATCCGGGCGAAACCCATTTTTTGTTGGAAGCACTATTTTCGGCAGAGCTCTATACGATGGTAGTTGATAAGATCTCCTTACTACACTGTAAATAAGGTTGAAAGCCCTTTGAAAATAGGGTACAACATTGATTTGTGGCAGGCAGGATATTATGGGCTTGGCTTTCACTTCATCGGGTACACTCATCCTGTCAGTGAGTGAGTGAAAGAAGCGGGCGGCCAATCACAGTGGCCGGCCTGGAGCCCCCTCCCCCGTCTCGGCCATTGACAGTGAGCGTCTGCTATCTACGTCACGGCCCCTCCAGCCAATGAGGTGGAATCCCTCTCTCCCCCTCCCCCAGTTCTCCTTTGTTGTGGCGGGATCTGTAGGTTATGTATCTAAGCTACTGTGCCGAGTAGCATTTATATATATAATCACGTGGCAACACTGCACGTTATGTGGCAACATTGCCCCGAGGCTGCCATATGGCAAGGCAGTCTCAGTCTGACTGTGTGAGCCGTGCATGGCACACGCTGGTCACCACTTGTATTTCTCCTATCCCTTAATAAACGGACTTCAGTGTTACCCGGTGTTTCCCTACCCATCACTGCATTCTTCAGGGAACACTTGTAACCATCATGGCGCAGTGACTAGGATCTGTGGACGTACAAGTGTGTGAACGATGGACAGTTAGCCGGCGATGTGATGTGCGCGTCGACTCTTAGTGTGTTGTGTTGTGTTTCGCCGCGATGTGCAGTGTTGGGCCGTCACAGTGCTTTTTAGTGACGGTGGTAGTGTTAGTGTCAGTGTATTAGTGTGTGTCTAGAGCTGAGAGTTGAGCATTGGCCTGTTTTTTGTGGTACCCACGGAGCACGCAGGCGTACACCCTTCTCGTGTGACATCCGGGAAGACACTGACGGTCTCGCCCCCGCCGCGTCTCTAGCCACCGGCATTAAGGCCACCACGAAGTGCTCTCTCACACTCACACACACACACACACACACACACACACACACACACTCACTCACGGACAGAACAGTGGACTCTATGCGTTATTTCTGCGCTGTTTATGTCATATATATGTGGTTCGAGCTGTTGAGGTGTCAGTTTATATACTAAACAGTGCAGTCCACTCACACACTAAGATGGGCGGTAAGAAGGGACAACGTCAAGATGGGAGACACGACTCCCCACCACCTTCCCCTCCACCGGGCGCAGACTCTCATCCTCCACCTCCAGTGACGGACATTGCCACAATTCTGAGGTGGATGGACGACCGGGACGAGAGACGCAGAGAGATGGAACTTCAGAGGGAGGAGACACGAAGAGAGGAGGAAAAGTTGCGTTTTGAGGCACTATTGGCGACCCTGGCGCTAACCCACCCTCCCTCACTCGCAGGTAGCGCGCATCAAGGCGCCAGTACCCTCCCTCCTCCACCACACCAGCGTCCTGCAGGTACTCTTGCTACCCCAACAGCTCCCAAGGCATCTGTTCAACCCCCACCCGCCCTCTCACCAGACGTCACGTTTCAGCTTTTTCGTGAGTGGAGGCGGCGTTGGACAGATTACTCCACGATGGTGGACCTGGACAGCATGCCTCCAAACAAACAGCTCATCCAACTGCGGATGTGTTTGACGCTGGAGACCCAGAGAGTTTTGGAGCACACGTTGCAAGTGCCTCCCGATTCTACCTCTTCAGTGACGGATGTGCTCGACCTTTTACAGGAGCATGTTAAGGGTCGGAATAACGAGGCTTTGCGTCGCCGTGCCTTCACCAGCTGCAAGCAGGCGGAGAACGAATCCTTTGACGACTTTTTTGTACGCTTGAAGAATTTGTCAGAGGAGATCGACGTCTGCAAGGCGCACAGCCGGGAATGTGAGGAAGCCTGGATCAAGCACGGGATCTTGACAGGTGTCAGGCAGGAAGAGTTGGTGCAGCGACTCATCCCCCTGGACGCTTCCTCCACAGTCCAGGTGGTAGTGACTGAATGTCGGTCATACGAGGCCACCAAGTCCGCCACCTCTGCCTTACGGGCCCCACCTGCTGTGAGAGCTATCTCACAATACAAGAAGGGTAAGAAGGCGGCCAACAACGTGAAGGCTGCCGCACGTTCTTCCACGCCTCCGCCTAGTGCATCCTGTGGCAGCTGTGGAAAGCAGCATGGCCCCAAGACATGCCCGGCCGCCGACGCACTGTGTCGTGGATGTGACCGTAAGGGCCACTGGTCTAACACAGACAGGTGCCCTGCACGAGGCCGCAAGTGTCAGGCCTGCGGTCGCTATGGACACTACGACAAGTGCTGCCGCCAACCCAAGCCCAAAAGCCCGAGACGAGGAGGAAAGCAGCGCACTTCCCTCGGGGTGGTTCGCACGCAGCCCCCTCCAGATGGCCCATGCAGCCCCAAGCAGCAGCGGAGTCACATCAGGAGGGTGGAATCGACCACACGCCCCAGGGCTACCCCTTCCCCCACCATCCGCGTCGCCGTCACACACGGTGATGTGTCGGGTCACATCGAGGTGATACCGGACACCGGCGCTGATACTACGGTGATTGTGTTGAAGCACCTCCAGAAACTGGGCCTCACCAAACGCGACCTGGGACCACCGCCGCAGCTGCAGTACTACAATGCGGACGGTTCCCAGATGCCAGACGCTGTGGGCTCCTTTCAAGCGGAGATCACTTACGGCGACAGGTCATGTCACGGATGGATCGACGTGCAGCCTACTCTCGCTACACCCTTGTTGTCGTGGGAGCACCTCAAGGAGTTATGCGTGGTACCCAGAGACTTTCCCGAGCAGATCCCAGCTGCTCGTTACACCACCAGCAGGGTGCGTGAGTCGACGAGCGACGCGCATGGCGCTGCCACACAGAGCTGCCCAGAACCCGCGTCCACTCCCACCCACACAGGACGCTCCCCTGCCCAGATCCTGTATGGTCACCCTCTCCGCTCTTGCATTCCTACACACGCCAAGGCCTTTGCAAAGGACTGGCAGACCAAAGCCGAGAGCTGTGACCGCCGCACCGCTACACGTGCCCAGGACGCCAAGGCTCGGTATGACGACCGTGCCCGCCCTCTTCAGCCACTGGAGATTGGTGCCCTTGTCCGCGTCCAGGACCCGACGACGACACGTTGGGACAAGGTGGGCATAGTGATGGGCGTCGGCCGGTCGCGGGACTACAAGGTCAGGATGCCGAGCGGCCGTGTCTGGTGGAGGAACCGCCGCTTCCTCCGGCCAGTCCCACCCCCTGCTGCTGGCCCTCTGACCGAGGACGAGTGTCCTACACCTCACAAGGATCCGCCCCACAGTGCACCTCGACGCTCGGAGCGACTTAGGACTAAGAAGTCCGCTCAAGACAAAGACTATGAGCGTGAGGGGGGAGGGAGATGTAGGTTATGTATCTAAGCTACTGTGCCGAGTAGCATTTATATATATCATCACGTGGCAACACTGCACGTTATGTGGCAACATTGCCCCGAGGCTGCCATATGGCAAGGCAGTCTCAGTCTGACTGTGTGAGCCATGCATGGCACACACTAGTCACCACTTGTATTTCTCTCATCCATAATAAACGGACTTCAGTGTTACCCGGTGTTTCCCTACCCATCACTGCATTCTTCAGGGAACACTTGTAACCATCAGGATCTACACTCTGACATCGATTCAAGTCAAAAAAAAGCCATAAGCGGATGGGAGTTTTGTTGCTTCAAGTCAACATTGCAACAACCCAGTACACTACTTCATGACACGCTACCTACCGCCTGCAAGTACAGTCCTTTAGCCTCAAAATGCATAAAAAATGAATGCTGTATCTCAAAAAAAAAAAAAAAAAGTTATGCATGCTTGAATTTGAAAAAACTGTAAAAGCAGTTTTCTCGGTTTAAAATTTTGGCACGAATAACCCTTACGATGTAGGGCGCCTCATATATGCCATTTATAAATATTTTACAGTAAATATACAATACAGTTTCATTGTAGTCTCATTTAAAGTAACAATAATCTGTAGATAAAATCATCAAAGTGTCCAGGACATTTGGTATTTTCTTTTATTTCCAATAATTTACCACAGTACACATATTTTATAACTAATGGATGACTTTAATAGGAGCTGTTTGATCAACACTATGGATGAAAGCAAACCCCCTCTTATTATGGAAACTTTTCTTCATTTATACCAATTTTATTTATACTGTACTGTTGTCTTCTAGAAACACAAACCCCAGCATAAATAAGAGCAACCTGTACAATACCTTTACTGTGAAGTTGTTTAGGGGATCATCAAGGCCATGTTCAGGTTTGGTTTTAAAGCCCAGCAGAGTGCCATCTTCAAGGAGAAAGAAATAACGTTGTCGCCAGTTCTTGATGTGTTCGCCACGCTTGTTCAGCCACCCTTCCTTTACAATTTCAGGGGGCGGAGCTGCAACCGCCTCACCCATTTTTTCTATCAATGTAACAATCATAAGAAATTACATGAGTAAAAATACTGTATTATTATGTAAATATAGTGCCTCTACTGATCAGCCTCTAATAAATCATTATCATATTAAATTCTAAATATTTTAACAAAAATACTTGTACATGAAGATAATAATTGCTGTAAACAGGAAGACTTCATAAATATTAAAGCAAAGCCATATAGATTATACAATCATAATTCATAGCTACAGTAAACCCTTGATAACTCGGCACATATGGGGCTCTGGCCTTGCTGAATTATCACAAATTCCGACTTATCGAGGCACTTCTCCCCCAGCAAAATACAACAATAAAAAATTATAAGCCCATATACATACAGTATACTGTACGTACATGTAATACTTACCAGCACTGTAGGTGAAGAATGAAGCAGTGTAGTAAGCAAGAGGCATGGGAGGTGACACAGAGACATGGTAGGTGACATAGAGGCATGGTAAGTAACTTAGGGGAATGGTAGGTGATGCAGGGGAATGGTAGGTGATGCAGGGGAATGGTAGGTGACGCAGAGGAATAGTAGGTGACGCAGGTGGAGGAGAAACACTATATAAACAGTGAGACAAATATGTACTGTATATTACTATAATCTGGTCATTTATACAAAAGAAAGAATAAATTTTAACAAAAATAATTATTTTTCTATGTATAATTCAAGTTTGAGTATGTAAATAAAAAAGTAACTTATATAACTAAGGATATTATAGTCCACCTTAGTAAAACCATTTTCTTTATTACAGAGCAAAAGAATAATTATTAAAATACTCTAATGTAGCTTAGAAATAAAGAGAATATAATATAAAACTATAAAAAATAGAAAAATGAAGAGCATAAGTGTGCGTTTGTGAGGTGACCGTATGTGAAGGCCACTCAGTGCGCTTTACTACGTGTCTGACTCACAAGCCTCCCTCCCTCCCATGTGTGTTACACACTTATCAGTCAGCTGGTTGACTACACTGTCACTTGACTGCCTGGCTGAACTGTGGCATCACTTAGATGATGGTTTGAGTGTGGAAGGAGCTATTTTTTGTACTGTACATAAAATGTTTGCTATTGTATTTTATGATAGTATGCTATGTATCAATTTTATTATCACAGCAATTTTTATTCAACTCCTACGCCATGGTTGACGTTCCGGAACGTCCATCTAAGGTGCCCCGGTTGGCGTTCCGGAACATGTGCCTTTTTGCGGCATTGTTTGAATGCCCAGCGCAGGTTATCAGGATCCAGTGTGACTATTTGCATGTAACGCCACACACTCGGCCACAGGGAAGCTTCTGGAATATAAGTACCTACTTTTGTTTGTTTAATTTTTATTGTTTGTCCATTTTATCATGTTGTATCAAAGTAATATTGCTAAAAGTAGTGTAGTTGTATTGTAGTGTAGTATTACTGGAAAATAATGCTATGATTATGTTATAAATGTATTTATTTGTGGAATTACTATTCCGATAATTATTTATAGGCAATACTTGCTCTACCAAACACAAAGACAGCCAGACAGCCTGGCGACAGACTGCGTGTGTGTCACCGAGCACTTTTTATGAAAAATAATGCAAATAAAATATTCTAAATGAATTATTTAAAGGAAACAAATATTATTATCAGTAAATATATGTATTACTGGCCATCCCGGACACAAAGACAAGTAGGTAATGGCGGCTAAGTGCCTAGTGACCACGAGCACTAGTCGTCAAAACAACACTGTTCCCTTTTCTACCTCGCCACTGCGGCCCCAGGGAAGTAGGGGTTAAAAAGTTTATAGCACTTCAGGTGTCAGATACATGAATAAATGACTTCAGTTGCTTTCAGACTGTTGGACTAAATTAGAATTTTTACCAAAGGGGACAAAATTGGATACCTGGAAGATTCAGATAATTGGAATTCAGATTAAGTGAATTGTACTGTAAACTAAATAAAACCTACGACATTAGATTTACCATAATAGTGGAGACGCTCTGCATACAGTAGCTGGCCTGACATAAGAACATAAGAACATAAGAATGGAGGAAACTGCAGCGGGCCTATTGGCCCATACTGGGCAGTCCCGTTTACACCCAACCCCTATTGCTCATATGAGCATCCAACCTATGTTTGAAGCAATTCAGCGTATTCGAGTTAATGATGATATTTGGTAACTTGTTCCATTCATCCACTACTCTGTTTCCAAACCAGTGTTTACCTATTTCACGCCTAAATCTAAATTTGTCTAATTTAAAACCATTGTTACGAGTTCGCTCCTGGTTGGATAGTTTGAGTACCTTTGTAATGTCCCTTTGTTTAGCCCTGCCTTCCACTTATACACCTCTATCAGGTGCCCCTCGCTCACGTCTCTCAAGGGAGTGCAAATTAAGATGCTTTAACCTGTCTCTATACTCAAGGTTCCTAATGCCCGGGATTAGTCTTGTCATTCTCCTCTGAATTCTTTCCAAGGATTCTATATCCATTCTGTAATACGGTGACCAGAACTGAACTGCGTAATCCAGGTGTGGTCTCACAAGAGCAAGATACAGTTTTAGGATGACCTCGCTAGTCTTGTAACTAACACTCCTTTGTATGAACCCAAGTACTTTATTAGCCTTGTTACGAGCAAAAACACATTGTTTACTTGGCTTAAGGTTCCTACTTATCATTACTCCTAAATCTCTCTCGCAGTCGGATTTCTCTATGGCATCGTTGTTCATCTGGTATCTGGTTTCCCTGTTTACATCTCCTATACTGAGTACTTTACATTTGTCCACGTTGAATTTCATCTGCCATTTTTCAGACCATTCGAAAAATTTGTTTAGATCTTCCTGTAGTTTTGCCGAGTTCTCGTCAGATTTGATAACACGTCCTATTTTAGTGTCATCAGCAAATTTACTTATGTTGCTGTCTATGCCGATATCTATGTCGTTTATGTATATAATAAACAATAATGGTCCAAGTACTGAGCCTTGGGGAACTCCAATGGGACTTAGTGCCGTTAATGCTCACTCGCTGTTTCCTGTCCTGTAACCACGCCCTAATCCATTTAAGGATGTCACCTTTGATGCCATGAGCTTCTACCTTTCTAATTAGTCTTTCGTGGGGGACTCTGTCGAAGGCTTTGCTAAAGTCGAGATATACCACATTATAATTGTGCCCCTCGTCCACCGATTCGAAAACTGATGAAAAGAATGTTAATAGATTAGTTAGGCAAGAACGTCCGCTTGTGAAGCCATGCTGGGAATCATTGATCAATCGGTGTTTCTCCAGGTGATTTCGAATAGAGTTTGAAATGATTGCTTCCAGTAATTTGCCTACTATTGATGTTAGGCTGATTGGGCGGTAGTTAGAGGATAGTGATCTATCCCCCTTCTTGAAAATCGGTATTACATTCGCTATCCTCCAGGATTCTGGTACTACACCTGTTTTTAAGGACATGTTAAACAACTTTGCTAAGGGCATACTAAGCTCTTCCTTACATTCCTTTAATACTCTGGCAAATATCTCATCGGGACCAGGTGACTTATTAGGCTTTAGTTTGTCTATTTGCTTACTAACATCGTTACTAGTCACTACTATCTTACTTAATTTGTTTTCTTCACTATCTCTGAATAGAGTCGGTGCCTCGGGTATCATGAATGGGGGAGGTTGATGGGTGTTAGTGGGTTAGTACCGCAGGAACCAAATTTTACCAAGGAGTGTTGAATATTAATTCTGGCACCCTAGATACTCTGTGGTGCAATGTATAACTTTATACCCAAAACATTGGGGTGCTACAGCACCCTCCCTTCCCACTTCCATGTACTGGGTGGAGTGAGCCAGCAACACACCCAACCACAACAATAACAAACACCAGACTGACTAAGAGTTACCTACGTGGCTAAATATGCCAATATTTTCTCAGATAATTTTATATAACTTGGCATTTCCGAGTTATTTTATAATAGTAATCCTGTGATCATACAAGTGCCGAATTATATGAAATTCCGAGATATCAAATGGCTAGTTTACCGTGTTAGAAAGAAAATACAATTAACACTTGTGAAAACAAGTGCAGGTTTAAGTAAACTTACAGCAATAGTATTTTCTTTATGTTAACATTACAGTACACTGCAAAGCCACCACCAATGTTATGAAAAGCTAACCACATTACATACAGTACAAGGCACTGTACTTTTACTATATTAAAAAATTTACACTGAATACATACCTCCACTAAGAGCAATGCAGGAAGTAGACTAGTTTTTACACAATCTGAAAAATAAAAATACATTCATATAGGTTGATTTGTTAAAAGGTAAATGGTAGAGAACACCAATTTAACATTATTCTTGTAAGACTCCCTAAAAACAAACTGGGAGATGCTTGTTCTGACAGTTGAGTCTGCATGCTTGCAAGATATTTTTAAAGATATTACAATAATTTCTAACAAAGGAACTGGTACACAGGTAGAGACAGTGGGGTAGTGAGGGGAGGGTAGAGGGCCATGGCCTCCAGGCATGTGTTGCTATGCCTGTGGGGTTTGCTACAGGGCTTTGTTTGGCACCAAGGGGGAAGGTGATCTTGGTTTGTCTTGCTATACTTGAAACCATACATATACCTTTGATACAGACCAGATACATATTGATCCCAGATCTGAGCTCATTTCAAAGTCTAAAGTTTAAAAGCCTAATTTGAATCACATTAACTAACTAGTTTAAACCATAGCTTATCTTTAATTATGTTTTAATTCATATGTTGTCCATTTTTCATATGTTTTAAGTCATAACATCTAAATAACACCTCACAGCTCACAGGTGATTACAGTGATGAGTTTAATCTGGTTACAATGCTGCCAGCGATGTTAACAGACACAAATATGAATAGAAAGTTATCTGTAAATCTTAATTTTTATCAGGTAACTGTATATGTAGATTTAAAAATAAATGTTGCAGATATGGCATTAATAGATTGTAATGCTTGCAAGATTCAGAAGTGGTTACTGCTTAGCTACCTGTGAAGAGTTGGGTGTCTGCCTTATGGATGTTAATCATCTCAGGATATCATGATCAGTACAGCAGTTATAAATCGAGGTTTTATATTTATAATACTAATTTTTGTAATTAGCTAAAAATAATAATAATGTGTTTAAGTATGCAATAACATATTTTTAAGTCTGGAGTTGGGTTAGGCAGAATTTAGCCAACTGGAGACAGCAACTGAGGGATTCATTAGCCAACTGGAGACAGCAACTGAGGGATTCATTAGCTTACTGGAGACTGCAACTTCACATATAGGATGCACACTGATTTTTTTAGCCATTTTTCAACAAAAAAGTGTCTTATATACCGTAAAATAAGGTAGTACTCAAATTAATCAGTCTTTTACATCAAGTTATTGACAGTTCATTAGGAAACAATATTTAACCCCATGCACCACGCATCTCTCACTTCACTAGTAAGCCCAATCTGCGCGCCGCCACACAGCCAACCAGCGCACTATACCCCCTGCACCTGATTCTTTATCAATTGTAACCCAGCCATTGCATTGCTCCACGATTATAGGTGAGCATTGTACATGGTACTTTTCATCAGTGTTTTTCTTGTCTTTTAGCGAGAGGACAGCACTAACATTTAGATTGAACTGTGTTATGGTGACTATGAAGTGATTTTTCTGTGTTTTTGTGACTGTAAGGTGCGTCAACTCTGTTGTTTTGAAAATGTAATCAGTGTGTGTCACTATCTTTGTTTTTGTTGTCATCATTCGCTCTGTTTTCGTGACAAGTACTTTTGCTGTTTTTGTGACTGAAGTGAACTGTGTAACTTTCAAAATGTCTGGGAAGACCAAGGTATCCACGACAACCGTGTCTCTGAGGTGAAGCTTAGTCTTCATGATGTGGCAAGTGCTGTTAATTGTGTTCAATCGATTTTATAAATGCATCGGTCACGTCTCTGTTACGCACTGTTGGCAAGTACTGGGCATGCACTAGCTCCTGAAAGTACAAGATATTTGCGAGGGAAACATCAGAGAAGAAGTGTCTGAGAATTGTCTGAACAATTGATTGCAAAGATAAAATTCTTGTGATTCAGTTGGTAGCAAGTTATGCAATACCATATATATAAATAAATAAATAAATAAATAAATATATATATATATATATATATATATATATATATATATATATATATATATATATATATATATATACACACAGTATATTACTTTGTATTAAAGAGGTATGACCATTACTGTGATTCAATTAAACAAAGTCAAGGTAAGAATTCCATGCCTTTTTAGTCTAAAATCATGAAGTACTCTATAGCTATGTGTTATATTAATAATAGAAACTTTAAATTAAAACATCATTCATTGTTTGTACAGAAATACGAGTTAATCTACCGACCTCAGCAGTCAAAAGTTCTACCTACACAAATAAAATTTAGTCCCAGTTCTACAAACCTTAACTGCACAACTTTAACAACCTATTACTCGTATTCTCGTCTAGTTACAACAACATGGCTATGATCATATGATAATCACGTCGCAATTATTATCCTCGTGACATTTAACCTTCAAAATACATCCTAGTTAACTTATGGTTATATACGTTTCCAATGTTTTGTTTGATCAGCAGATACACATCAATGTCTGCCATATATACTTGCCTGTCTCCCACTGTTTCCTCCAACTTCCACGGTCATTTGACACTCGGCGTATTGTTCTCTGCCTGCAATTAAGGTGACATCATAATGCAGTAGAAAACTTAGTATTAAACCCTCATATGGACCACACAATGTTCTGTCTCAGCTGTTTAGAGTGTCTTTCTGAACACTATACCTATACTCTTCCTTATATCACATCTACCAAAATCTAAACCAAAGCCACAAAATTATACTAACGATAACCCATTAATTAATTCTTATCCACTAATAAATATATCATCAAGAGTATTAACACTACTGAATGCCAATTAGGTGAAGGTTTTATTCTGATAGCTGACACATTGATGGAACTGTGAACCAATTATCCGATTACTGCCACTATGTTCATAACCAGGTAACTTATGTCCTAATAAACAATAAAGTATATCAAATTATTATATATAAGCAAAATCATCCTTATTTGTGTTATAGGCAACCGAACTCATTGATTTAATATGAATGAATTGTGATCAAATTTAACTTTCATTCATACACTAGATTATGTGATAAAACAAATATTAAATCACAATCAGAATTTTAATGTAGAGACGATTCAATGTAAATTAGTATATGAAAAATTAAATAATATGTAGAGCATTATTGGGTCTTGCGTAATATGTAACGCATGTGGATGGTGTGTGCGTATGAGTGTACAGTTAAATGCGTGGAGGCGTATTTATATGTGTGAATGATCATATGTACAGCATGTATGAAAATGTGCGTGAATGAATTTGGACATACGACGAGGCTGCATGTGTGTGTATAAATAATGAGTATCATACAATAAAGGGTGCTACTATTGCGTGCGGTCTACAAGATATTTAGGTTAGGTTAAGTTGTCAGATCAAGTTAGGCAAGGTTAGGTTAGTTCAGATAAGGTTGGATAACGTTAAGTTAGACTTAAGATAGCTTTGTAACCCGCACGCTATAATAGTACCCAATAATGGCTATAAAACGCATTTGTGTGTGTGTGTGTGTCTAAATTAATGGTTGCCCCTCGTGTAACGATGGCCGGCCCAAGGGTCCGATCCCCGGGCAGGGTGAAACTGTAGGGAAGTTACGCCATTTGCCTCTGTGTACCCAGCAGTAATTGGAAACCTGGATGTTAATCGATTTGCCGATCGTGTTCCGGGGTAATAAGAACATAAGAAAATAAGGAGTCTGCAATAGGCCGGTTGGCCTGTGCATGGCAGCTCCTGTCGAGAGTTACTACCACTCTCTATCACCCATGAATCTATCTAGCCTCCTTTTGAAACTTTCCAGAGTTCCAGCACTTACTACAAAGTTGCTAAGCTTGTTCCACTCGTCCACCACCCTATTTGTGAGCCAGTTTCTTCTTATCTCCCTCCTAAACCTAAACTTATCCAACTTGAATCCGTTGCTCCGAGTCCTATCCTGCTCGGATATTATAAGAACTTTATCTATATCCCCTTTATTGATTCCTTTCACCCACTTAAATACTTCTATCATATCTCCCCGCATTCTTCGTCTTTCTAGGGAATGCAAGTTAAGTTTCTTTAACCTATCCTGATATGGAAGGTTTCTAAGCCCCGGAATCATTATGTCATTCTTCGCTGCACCGACCCTAGTGAATTTATATCCATTCTATAATAGGGGCACCAGAACTGAACCACATAATCGAGGTGCAGCCTGACTAGCGCAAGATATAGTTGCAATAAGACCTCTGCACTCTTGTTACTTACACTTCTAGATATAAAACCCAATACTCTGTTTGCCTTATTCGAACATTAACGCACTGTTTTCTAGGCCGTAGGTCCGGGCTTACAAGTACCCCTAGGTCTCTTTCACAAGTCGACTTCTCTAGGTTGATGTTGTTAAGGCTGTATACATTATCAGTATTTGTTCTTCCAATATTAAGTACGCTGCACTTGCTGGTGTTGAATTTCATTTGCCATTTTTCAGACCACCCCTGCAGTTTATTTAGATCCTCCTGTAATGCATTTGCATCCTGCCCTGAATTAATCTGCCGCCCTATTTTGGTGTCATCCGCAAACTTGCTTATGTCATTGCTGATCCCAGTATCTAGATCGTTTATGTAGATTATGAACAAGAGTGGGCCTAGTACTGACCCCTGGGGAACCCCACTGGTTACACGGCCCCACTCAGATTTAACACCATCTACGCTGACCCTCTGCATTCTATCGGTGAGCCATGATTTTATCCAATTTAAAACTTTCCCCTCGATACCATGAGCCTTAATTTTTCTCAGAAGTCTCTGATGCGGTACTCTGTCAAATGCTTTGCTAAAGTCTAAGTAAATAACATCGTAATTTTCGTCATTATCTACTACCTCGAAGACTTTCCTAAAAAACGTCAGCAGATTTGTTAGACAAGATTTTCCCTTTGTAAACCCATGTTGTGAGTCGTAGATTAATTTGCTTTTCTCTAGATGCGATCGGATACTATCTGCTATAATTGATTCAAGAAATTTCCCCACTACTGACGTCAAACTGATCGGCCGGTAATTTGACGCTGATGCTGTCTCCCTTTTTGAATATGGGTACTACATTTGCCTGTTTCCACAAGTCTGGTACAACTCCGGTGTCTAATGATTTTGTAAATAGATTTACAAGGGGTCCGCTAATCTGTTCCCTACACTCTTTCAAGACTCGAGGGAAAATTTCATCCGGCCCTGGGGATTTTGTCTTCTTTAGTTTATTTATCCACTTAAGAACATCCTCTTTTATGATAGTGATATTCTTTAATTTCTCTTCTTCCTTTCCCCTAAATATCAGTTTCACCTCTGGAATTGCCTCGCAAATTTTTTCTGTGAAAACTGATAAGAAGTAGTTGTTCAATGCTTTGCTTATTTCTTCACTGCCATTTATTACTTCTCCCCTCCCTGGCTTTAAAGGCCCAACTTTGTCCTTGACTTTTGTTCTATATACCTGGAAAAATCCCTTGGGATTCGCCTTGGATTCTCTTGCTATTTTGACTTCATAGTCTCTCTTTGCTTTCCTTACATTTTTCTTAACATTCCTAGATAGTTCATTATACCTATTTCTGAGCTGCTCCTCCCCTCCCTTTAATTTCTTATAAATTCCTTTCTTTATTCCTATGTCATGTTTAAGTTTTCTGGTCATCCACCTTGGCTCATTCTTATTTGACCTAATTTTTTTGTTCTTGTGCTTTATGTAGTATACTAGTGAATATATTATAGTCATGATCAATTGTTGTGTCATCTATGACCTCACCCCTTCTTACTGGGGACTAAAGTGACTGTTCCCAGGTGACCTCACCTAGGTACCTTCTTAATCCCTGATAATCCGCTAACCGAAAGTTTGGGACTCTGACCATATTGTCATTGTTTTTTGTTTCCCAATTTAGGGTGAACCTGATTTCTCTGTGATCACTGTTACCTAGTTCTTCCCCGACTGTGATATCTCTGATAATATTTTCTTTATTTGTTAATACTAGGTCTAATATATTGTCACCTTTAGTAGGTTCTGTAATTAGTTGTTTCAAAAAATTGTCCTGTACTGCGTCTAGGAAGTCTTCAGATTCATAGTCACCTACAATGTTGTCCCAGTCAATATTTCTGAAGTTGAAATCCCCCATAATGCCTAGGTTGTTATATTTTGCTGCCCAACTCATTTCCTGCCATATGGGCTGAGCTGCTTCTTTGCCCAGACTTGGGGGCCTGTAAATCACTCCCATAATTAGTTTTTCTCTTCCTTCCGTGATTTCTACCCATACAGACTAGGTTCCCATTTCACCCTTTAGTGAATTATTAATACGACATTTTAATGTATCCTTGCATGAAGAGTGCGACCCCTCCCCCCTTCCTACCTTCCGTGTCCTTGTGAAAAAGGTTGTACCCTTCTATGTGGTACTCTGATAAAAATTTTTGCTCGCCAGATTCATCCAAGTTTCGGTGATTGCTATGACGTCTACATTCTCGGTACATACAACCGCTCTCAGCAAGTCTATTTTATTTCTAACGCTCCTACTGTTTATATAGTATACATTTAAGCCTGTTTTACCCATTGTCCTGATTAACTAATTTTACTTCCCAGGACTTGCTTGTTTTTTGACTCCCACTTTCCCCGACCTCTCTCTACTGGCGAAACCCCCCGTTTGGAGTGACAATTTCACGCTCCAGGGATGAAGACAACGTCTTTACCCCCGCACGAGACAAGTGTACTCCGTCACGACTGTACAGGTAGTCGTTGCCAGCTATCAATGAATGCCCAACCATTATTTGCACAATGTTTTTCCAGTCGGCAATTTATAGCAATTGCCCTGGACAGCCATTCACGACCAACCCCTCTTCTAGGCAAGACACCACATACTATCGGGATCCCTCCCCTATCTCTAATCTTTCCCCAGCGCCTCCCTATACCTCTTGAAAAGTTCCTCACTCCTAACCTTTCCTAAGTCGTTTCCTCCCACACTAAGACACACTACTGGATTGGTACCCTCCCCTGACAAAACCCTGTCTAACCTCTCAGCTACATGCCCTATCCCAGCACCAGGAAAACACACCCTAGTCCTGCGTTTCCTATCTCTTCTAAAAAAAGTCCTATCTAAAAACCTCACCTGGCTGTCCCCAACTACCACGACCTTACCTCTGGGCAGGGTTTGTACAACTGCCCTTTCCTCCACCTGCACCACACTTTCCTGCCTCTTCTCTTCCTCGCCAGCTTCCTCCAGCACCTGGTAGGGGTTCCTACATTCCACACCCTGGTCAGCTTTTCTGAGCCTGACCCTAGTCCCCTTGGAGACAACCACTCTCCAAGCCTGCTCCTCCTTCGCAGGTGTCCTGCTAGGCAGGACACCTATCTGAAGGAGTTCAGTCCTGAGGGCTTCATTTTCCCCCTTTAGAGTGTCGACCTCACTCCTCAACTGCCCCGGCTGCCTTAGCAGAGTGGCCAAGAGGTCGTCTTTCCCCACACTACTCTCCTCTTCCCCCAAGACACAACGATCCAGGGCGGCCATTTTCCTTGGTCACTACGGGAGAACTTGGTTAGCCAGTGCAGTTGGCGAGTTGTCCGGTCTTCTCGGACTATTCCTTGACACTGGGTTATGCAACTCGTTAACTTGTTGTGTTGGCGACAGCTTCTACACCTTAAACAAATTCACGCCTAGGTGGCCCTT